AGGTGGGTCATGAACCAATTCAACTCCAATTGAAACTCCCTGCTTTTCCCCTCCTGAAATGCCTCCACTTGATGCATTGCCAACTCTTACATTGGCAACGTGCTCGAGACTGAGCTCCTTCATTATCTCCCTCACTCGAGCTTTGACCTTGTGGATCTGACCATAGAGCCTCAAACGAGCGCTGAACATGAGCGTCTCTTCTACTGTAAGAAGAGGGAAAAGATCCTCCCCTTGGATGACATAGCCAGATATTCTTCGAAAATGCTTTGCATTCATCTCCATTTCGTTCACAAGGACATGGCCACAGACTCTGCTAAGTGGGATCATTCCTGCTAGTATGTCCAACAGTGTTGTTTTTCCAGCTCCACTAGGACCAACAATGGCTGTGATCTCCCCTGGCCTAGCTTCACAGTTCACATTCTTCAAAATGTATGAATCTTTTCGCCTTTCTCTGCTGAACCCGCAATTGAATTTGTTGATTGGGTAAGGTAGTCTATAAGAAAGGTTCTTGGTCTTGATTTTGTACGAGGTATCCTGGCAACCAAAGTTAGCTGCCTTGATTGATGATCCCATTGAAACACAAAGGGGAGTGGAATAGCCTGTGAAAGGAAGGAAATTTGAAGATTTCAAGCAAGAAGTTGCCTTTTTGTAGGAGTAAACATCATAATGAAAGGTTTTGTTTTACTTGTTCTAAGCTGTGGGCTTGAATCATTTAAACAGCATGAGAAGCATTTTGGCTCAACGACCTCTAAATCAGTCTGGAGGGGCAGTTGCTTCATTAAGAAGTTACTTTTTTGTACTGCAGGGCAGTTTCATCAATCTGAAGAGGTACCCAGTGCTTTTGAGGTGAGGTTTTTGACTCAGTAAAAGAACTCTAGTACAGTTTTGGCTAACCCCATGTGAAGGGAAGCTTTGCTCTATTTTGAATTGGAGGACTCGTTACGTGAGATCCTACATCGGTTGGAGAGGAGAACAAAACATTCTTTATAAGGGTGTGGAAATCTCTCCTTAGTAGACGCATTTTAAAAGCCTTGAGAAAAAACCCGAAAGGAAAAGCCCAAAGAGAATAATATCTGCTAACGGTGGGCTTGGGTCATTACAAAGTTAAGTTGGCTCTCGGGGATATCATGAAATTGCAGATAAACTTGGGCCGTTCTAAATCAAGATCTTTCTGCAGCTATTCATTCAAATGAACAGCCACCATGAGAACTTATTGCTAACGACTCGAAAGTTGCTTCAATGATCATGAAAAGGCAGGAAGTACAAAAATACAAGTATTGATGGAATGGTGAAGAGTAGTTCAAACTAGTGAAGAGATACAGTGACGAATGAACGGTATCAGACAAGAAGTATTAGGAGGAGTCTGATACAATGTTAGCATACAAGAGCCTGTTCCAAGTATCAGGCAAACCAGGCAAACACCAGTGGCTGCAATCGGTAATGATCTCTTCTTTTCTCTGTTTCATTGCAACTGATAGTTTCCCTTGCCTTCTTGCATAAACTGATGGATGCGCATCCCTTCGATACTGCGATAGCTTTGTTATATTCAAATACTTCACTGGGGTTTTCATTCTCTTGATTGTTCTCTTGAATACTTCAGTTAATGACTCAGGGAATATCTCTTGGTAGGACTCATCTGAGATTGGTTGGGTTTCGTTGTAGCACCATTGCGTTCCCTTGTGTTCTGGCGAAATACTTCTAAAGAAAACTACTGTTTTGTTCGTATCCACGTTCTGGTCAATCCAACTCGACCAGGTTTTCATGGCTGCCTCGAGTGCCAGGTCCATTTCCATTGTTTCTACCATCTTCCCATCACGATGAAAGTAGTCCCATCTGCAAAATTCATCTCAGGATGAATGAAATCTGTTCGTTATGTAACATCGTAATCACAAGTACTTACGCTTGTAACTTCCCCTGATGCACCCACCAATGGCCAGTGTTGAAAACCATGATGTCTGCACCATACCACTTCTTTGACATTGCTGAGAGTTTGTCGAGCTCCAATATTCTGGCGCCATTAGCCCGGTCGACTTCTAGTTCCACCAGAAACGGACTCCAGAAAAACTCCACGGAACAATTGTATTCCTGAGGTTATAAATAGGCACTGTTAGTTCAAAGTCACATTATAGTATCAGAAAGTACAAGAAGGTGTACATGGAAAAGCTCAGCTAACTGCCTTTGATCTGAAGACCTTGTAGCTGCCACTTTGTACGTCAACATAAACCTGAGAGGGAGGTAAAGCAGAGTAGAGAAGACATGCAAGAGATTCCCATTGGTTTCTGTTAAGTGAGTCCCCAACTACGATCATTCTCTTGCTTCTGAGTTTCTCCAACATATCTGTGCTATTAAACCTTCAAAGTTTATGATTTAGATGATTAAGTTTACACTGTTAGTGGCTGATTAAACGCTGCAATCGCTCGGTATTGGATCTAAATGAAAAGGAAGTAGAAGGAATATTGAGATGAAGAGCTAATGTTTCAGCTCACCTGGGAATGTTGCACCCAGTGGCTTCCCAGCTCAACTTCTCGTAGCCAAAATCTTGTCGACCATTCCTTCGGCAGCTAACTTGGTCGCTAAGAAATGGACACTTCGTTTGATCATAGAGAGGACTTACCTCAGGATCATAGACCCATTTGCCATCAAAGATGTTGCAGCTTTTCTTCTCATGCGTATCGTGCTCCTTGAGAAGTGAGGTGTCTTTGGGCTGCAACTGAGTGTTAGCTGCAACATAGTAGTCCACGAGACTCAACGAAGATGTCACCGATGAGGTTGAGCTTTGAAAAGTCAAAAAGTCCAGGGCCTTCTGGTCTTGACCAAGCAAGAGCACTAGGATGATAATGCTCGTGAAGCTTGTATATGTGCAAAGCTTCCATCTCTGATTAATGGGGAAGCTGTTGTCCATTGCTTGATACCTCTACTTCTCACTAGCAGTGAGAAGCTAGAAGGCGAGGTAATTATAATTAGGCACTTCAAGTTTGTAAGAAGTGGGCAAGTTTCAGTCAAAAATCCCTGAATACCCTTTGAGAATTTGCATCGCACTTGTGAGATATTGGTGGTTAGTCACTTTTAGATGACTAAAAACATGTGAATTTGAAGCCAAAGGGTTCGATAATGGCTATTTTTAAATAGTTTTCGTGCTCGAGATTATGTCGATACCAGAAAAGGAAGGAAAACATAATATCTTTGAGAGTTTTAGAGAAAGTAGCAGCAGAGTAGTTGACTAAAACCACTTGAACAGTACCTGCTAAAAAACCAGCAAATAGAACAAGATTTAGGTGAAGCTTATCTCCTCAACTCCACCCTCTAATGTGGTGGGCGGATTACATGTCAACTATACTACTATGCAGTAGCTTGGACTTTCTTTTAGTTTTAGGTTCATGTGCAGGTGCAAGTTCCAGATGAAAACATAGAAATTTAATGACTGACCTAATTCCAAAACGTTAGCCACCTGCCGATGAACGGATGAAAGTGATGATCTGAAAGCATGCCGTTTTTGGTGGCCAACTTTTTGTTACCTACCTAGACACGTTCTTTAGCCATATTTTGTTACCTTGTGAGCTTAAGAGAACAGCAGAAGAACAGGAAGACACTTTCTAATGGAGACAGTTGGGACTTCTGAGAAAATGATAGGTAACATAGCTCAAAGATGGAGGGTGCTCAGTGGGCAGGATAACTGGAAAAACCTCTTGGACCCTTTGGACGTCGATCTTCGACAATACATTCTTCACTACGGAGATATGGCACAGGCAACATACGACGGTTTTAACTGGAACAAGATGTCCAAATTTGCTGGGGACAGCCATTACGCAAGGAAGGACTTCTTCTCCAAAGTTGGTTTAGCTATAGCCAACCCGTACAAGTATAAGGTCACCAAATTCCTCTATGCAACTTCAGGGATTGAAGTTTCGGAAGCGTTTTTATTGAAGTCTCTATCAGGGAAAGCTTGGAACAAAGAGTCGAATTGGATGGGGTACGTTGCTGTGGCAACGGACGAGGGAACGACTGCATTAGGAAGAAGGGACATTGTAATTGCTTGGAGAGGAACAATTCAAGCATGGGAATGGGTTGATGACTTCAACTTTCCTCTTGTTCCTGCCACAGAACTATTTGGAGCAGCTAATCCTTCTAATGTTCACAAAGGCTGGCTTTCCATTTACACTTCTAAGGATTCTCGATCGCCCTATAACCCGAACAGTGCAAGACAGCAGGCGATTTTCAATGTTTTCATATATACTTTTCATTCAACCAATAACTGATATCACTAACCGTGGTTCTATCTTCTAATTGATCAGGTACTAGCTGAAGTTGAGAGGCTACTAGAGGAATATCAAGATGAAGAGATCAGTATAACTATAACAGGACACAGTTTAGGTGCTGCCCTTGGGACACTGAATGCAGCAGACATTGTTGCAAATCAGATAAACAAGGGGAAAAGGCAACCCCAGAAACTCTTCCCTGTAACAGCCTTCTTGTTTGCCAGTCCACATGTAGGAGACCGGAACTTCAGAAAGTTCTTTAATTCCATGAATAATCTTCATGTTTTAAGAACTCGGAACAAGGTGGACTTGGTACCAGAATACCCACTGTTGGGTTATGTGGATGTTGGAGTCGAGCTGGTAATCGACACACTAAAATCGAAATACTTGAAGAGTCCTGGATGTTTCAGGAGCTGGCACTCTTTGGAGGCTTATCTTCATGGGGTGGCAGGAACACAGGGAATTGAAGGTGGGTTTTTGTTAGAAGTGAAAAGGGACATAGCACTTGTGAACAAATCTTTGGATGCTCTCAAGGATGAGTATTTGGTGCCTGCCTCATGGTGGTGTGTCCAAAACAAAGGAATGGTACAAGACGCTGATGGCTTTTGGCGGCTGGAAGATCATGAGAGAGATGATGGGAAGCCTTAAGCTACAATATGTGCATGTAGAATTTCTATCCTAGCAGCCTCACAAATCATAGAACCAACTTCTTTGAAATAAAATTTGCATTCAGAAATAATGTAAGAGAAAACTTCGATTCTATATTGATTATTGATGAAATAAACAATCAATGGAAGCCTAATTCAGTGAAGCTAAGAACAAAAAATCATAAAAAGACCATCTGAATCACTCAGCGATGGGAATCACAGAGCTACATATTCATATCAAATGCAAATTTTACACAAACAAGGTGATTACATACTATAAGACTTCTCCAACTTTCCTGTTAGAGAAATATGAACGATCAACAAGGAATCTGGGAAGTGAACCACTCCATGACATGAATTGGGGCTTTGATCAGCCCCAGCGCAAGCTCCACTATCACCGTCAAGCACAAACAACAAGGACATATGCAAGTAAGCGTCAATCTGCACCCAAAATCGCACAGAAAACACAGATAAATGGAAAAGGGCGACAGATTTAGAAGAAACGAACCAAATCAGAAATGCCCTAGAAGCTAAAAATTGAAGGGGTTTTGAGAAATTTACCCCACAATCCAGATGATTACGCCGATGATGGAAAGGATGAGAGAAAGGAAAGCAAAAGGCAAGCCGAGCAAGAAGCCGAGCGGCCTACAATCGCCATCTCCGCAACACATCTTCTTTCGAGAATTGTCTGAGTTTCACCTCAATTTCTGGGTGATGATCGGAATCGCACTGCTGAAATGAAAAAGATGCTCAGAATATGTGACAAATGGGGCATGTCTGTGAAAGCGATTCTCTCCATTGGTTTTATCTTATTGAAGGGGTTGGACCAAAGAGTGCACAGATGAGCAGCGCATATGACTTCTGCGCAAAGCAAGTCTTAAATGACAACCGGAAAGTTCGCATTTTTCTAATGAAATTTCGTATTTCCCACGCTTCTTTAATATATTCTTAAAACTTGAAAAGAAAAAAATATATATACATATATATCCATTTTTTTTAAATAATTTAAAAATATTTTTATCTATATGTCATAAATTATCTACAAATATTTTAATATTATTTTTTTAAAAATCATAAATATTTTTGAAACATTAGGTAAAAGATATTTTAAAACCCTAAAATTGTTAAAAACTTAAAATATTTTTTCTATTTTAAAAGTTCAAAAATATTTTTTATTTTAAAACTTTTTTTTTAAAGTTTAAAAGTACTTACTAAAGTTTTAAAAAAAAATTAAAAAAATTAAAAATTATTATTGAAACTTCTAAAATTTCATGGGTATTTTTTCTAGACAAAGTGTAAAATTATTTAAATTTTTTTTTTCACTTTCTCTAATATTCACCCTTATTTATTCCGGCCACAAACCTATTTTGAGATAGTTTATTCAAGTCAGACGTTCAAATCTTCACAATCCAAAAAAAACAATTTTTTAAAAAAATATAAACAAACTCTCAAACGTAGAAATTGAATTAAAATGGGAAAGGGTTTCTGTTACACCAAACACAGAAAAGGCCATACCTTGGTGAACCCAATCCCATTACCATTACCTTTCAGATGAGAAAATTCCAAAGCCGTGTGCAATAAACATAAGCTCATAAATCAAAACAGGTTTCTTCTCCAAACAAGTCTGCAATGGCGGCAGAGTCATCTTCTTGGAAATTTGCAAAGAATAACAATTCAAACTTCTGAAGTTCAACAATATCGAATCAAATTAACACCAAACAGTTTCTATCTTAGCATAGTTCGGTGGATAAAAGACCACTACTATCTTAAGAATCGATGGCTCGATGTACCACTCGAGCATTTCTAGGTTGTGCTTCTTTCCATACATTTCTTGCCAAAAACTTGAAACAGGGATGGTTTATTGACATCTCACGCACTAGTACAGAGACCAACTATATAAAACTATGCACCCTTAAACGAATTTGTGTTTATTTTCATCTTTTCACATGTTTCTAGCCAAAATTTATGGACTTAAGACCAAGATTAACGACTGAATGCCATGTTCATTTTGATCACCTCTAGTTGTCTCATCCTACACGCTCGTGTTTGATATGTCATAACTATAAAGTATGAGCAGCAGTATATTGTAATAACTAGAACTGCAGACAAGTTAGTAGCTGGGACCTTTCAATACTCTCCTATAATGGTAACGGATTCCAAAACCTAATAAATCAAGTGAGAAACAACCTATTATATAGCCCCACTCAGCGTGCTATGAAGGTACTTACGACAGAACGGGGTGATCAAGTCTTTCACAATAAAGTGATAAATGGACTTACCATTAAGCTCGACATAGGCAAGCCTTGATGATGATTCAACCAGAGGCTCTGGTCCAATGCCTCCCCAAAATCTGAGCAGAGAAAGGCGTGTACTGCAGGGAAGACGAGTTTAGCTAGAAGCTTTGCAAATGGAGATTGGCACAGAAAGAACAGCGGAGAGTCGGCCATAAAAGAAGGGCTTCGAGGAAGACGCTGCATCAGAAAAATATACGTCAAATTGAGAATGAGAAACAAAGCGCACTTGAAAAGTTGAATACTCTCTTTTAACGGAAAAAAGGCATAACTTGAAGTGACGAACTAGCCAAGGCAAAACATACCTTAGAAGGAGAGCCATCATTTCATTTTTCCACAGAATGAAGTCTAAAAGGAAACAATGTAAAAATCATACCAAATGCAAACACTCTAGACAGCAGGGTAACTCGATTAACCTTACAGAAACCAATCAAAATCATATTTTTCTCTTGATCCTTTACAACTAAAAAAAACAAGCAGCAGCAGCAGCGCTTGCAAACACGAAGGAAGTGACCCACAATCCTAACATTCCATATGGCACCCATAGAAGGCAGAGATACAAGCTCAAGGAATCGTTTGAGCTTCTTACCAAACCCAAACCCTCCAGTATACATCATTGAAATCCACACTTGTTGCCAGTTACTGACACTTAGTTTACAAAACCTAATATAATAGAGGGGGGAGGGGATTATCCGGAGGGTGAATCTGTGGTAAAAAATAATAGATATGGTAGAAATTGATCAGCAATGTACAGGCGCTACGCAAGAGGGGCTAATCGATCAGATTACTACAATATTATACAATTTTGAGCCAGAATAAATGGCTACAGAGGAGGGGGTATGCAGTGAAACCTTCTATCCAATACAACATCAAACCTCAGTTTGCCACTGGCTGAACATGAATGGACTTTTAAGCCTCCTTTCCAACCCATGCAAGACTATTTGGATTTTAATCAGAAAAGCTGAAGGATCCTTCCAACAGAAGTACTCTCACAACTTCAAAAAATTTGACATCTGTTCAAGAAAACAAAAGGGCCTGGTAAGATTTTCATTTCTAAAAATTGATAATCACAAAATTTAAGTTGTTATACTAGAGTGCGATAAAGTAATATAGAGATCCTTAAAAGGGGGAAGGTAAACTGAGTACGCCTCTTAATACTTTTTCATGATCATGTGCAAATCCATGAACTCAAAAGGTCTCGGTGATCGAAAGTATTGCAACTTCGATAAATTTGTTCTGTACCCTTTCTAATGAACTCTAACCATCCTTAATCATCATGTTAAAATAAGACAATTTAGTCTGTTTTTGTAAAAGTTCTGATCAATTTGCTCATTCATGGCACAACAATATATTTTAAAATCATACTACTTTAGTATCTATTCTTCTGATTTTCATTTTAATTAAGTAAATGAATTATATAAAACTAATAACTAAACTAAAACAAACTAAAACAAAAAACACCGCATGCAAAGCATTTAATACCTAAAGCTTCAAGAAACGTCTGATGATGATATCACGATCTTCTCAGACAATTGCCAACAATGAACTTTTTAACATTTTAGATTGTAATCTCAATTCACACCCCCAACATCTAAGTAAAGGGCTGAACGAAGAAAGAAGACATCTAGATTTCAAAAGTTATATGCAGTGTTAACCCTGAATTTTCAAAATTAAAAAGTTTTATATATATAGACACAAACACATATATATCCTATGTTAGAAGATAAGATTTTGCCCCTTATAAGAATTCTAGCCTCTCCTGGTTGAACAAAGAATCCTTCTGATCCAATCCAATTGACCAAATTTATCTACCCTAAACGGTGAATGAACTCAACGACACCAAGATACGTTTATACCAGAAACATAGCCAGATGAAAAAGGGATCCAGAAACCAAAAACTCATCAGAGGAACTAGCACATGATCCAAAAATTTATTTAAAACAGAGATTCAGTCTAATTTGGTAGCACAACCTGAAAAATATTTGAAGACCTTTAAGACCCAGTATCAGATCCAGATGCTGAAGAACTTTCACTGTCGGAATCTGTAATTTATCCAAAAAGAATAAGAATAAGAATGCGGCTTCAACAAAAACACATGACTAGGATGCCAGCCCCAGGAATGTAGAAGTTAATAATTGTAAGACTTCAGATTAAAAATAATAAAATAAAAAAAAACCAAAATAGTCATACCACTAGATGAAGATCCAGAATCACTGCTAGAACTGCTTGAACTACTTGACCTACTCCTATTATTGCCCTGTCCTTGAACGGGCACTGAAGATGAAACAATATTCTCATCTGTGTACAAAATTAAAAGTTTTGGATTTTAGTAAATATACAAACTAAGAAAATATGAATAAAAAACCAGACAAAATGATGTACCCACCTGCTTGAGTTTCCTTTGGGACCTCCACCACAACAGGGGCCTGGATCAATAAAAGAAAACAACAGGATCCATTTTAGTACTTTATAGCACATTATCGCAATATACATCACAGTTTTATTCAGGGATTTACCTTTTGGGCAATATTGTGTTCCTTATCTGCTCTTGCTCGAAGTGCAAGCTCAGCTTTTCTCTTGTTCTTGCTCAAACTTTTCTTGAAGTTTGTCACAAACCTATCAAGCTCCCAGAGTGTCTCTGCATCCACGCTATCAATATCTACCTCAATTTCTTCATCATCTTGGAAAATATTCGAATTTCTCTTCTTAATTATTTGTAAAATGACATCCAGTTTTTCAGAAGGTAAATTCTGAAGGTTACTGCTGAGCTTTTGCTTCTCCTCATAAGTCATGTCCCTTTTATGAGGATCTTTTGCCTTGGGCTTCTTTGGAGCAGGTGTCCTAGCTGAAGGAGTAGCGCTCAAAGGTCTATTCTTGGAGTCAAGACGATATGTGGTGGATTCTGACCTTTCCAATATTCGTTTCATGTCAAGGGGTGGTGGTGGTGGAAGACGAGCCTTTCTGGAAGTAGGTGTGGAAAGAGAAGCTCCGTAGTCTAGTCCAAACCTTACCTCACGATTATACTCTGTCTCTATAATAACCCACCTATCCTCAAATATTGTCAACAATTGCTCTGCCATTACATAGACATCTTGTCCTTTGGGATTATAGGTCATAGCATTGCAAAATGTAAGTCTCACATCCTCAGCAAATTCTTTAGGTGACTTGTACCAATTTTTGTTCAGCCTAGATTTTACTGTTCCTAGGTCCATTGGATGCTTAATGATGATGTAGTAGTCATGCAGACCAAGGCCCTGCACATCGACAGGAGCATCAAACACCCAACCATACTTGTGCTTGATCAATTTATCCAGGAGTGAACTGCAGCTCTTAAAAAACTTGGAACCCAGCCCAAAACCATGAGCCATTTCTCCTACAACCGGCTTCTTGATGTTTGTTTTTGCCTTCTTATTACTCTCAGCTGGTGGTAGCTTATCTTTTCCAAGTATGAATTCAGAGTTTCGATAAAACTGGTTTGCTTTAGGAGTTCTTTTTTCTTTCTCCACATAATCACTCACACCCTGACTGTTCTCCAACATTGATATACTCGATTTATTCAGAGGCCTAGAAGGCTCACAAGGCACACGTACAGCAGCAACCTCAGGATGAATCTGCTCATCTCC